AAAAAAAAAGAGTTAAAGCAATTGATTTTTCTAACAATGTTGAAGTCTGGAAGTCTGTGGCTGCTTGTTCTTTTTTTTTTTTTTTTTTTGAGTGGGAGTCTTACTCTGTCACCTAGGCTGGAGTGCAGTGGCATGCTCATGGCCACCACAGCCTCAACCTGCTGGGCTCAGGTGATCTTTCTGCCTCAGCCTTCCAAGTAGCTGGAACCACAGGTGCATGCCACCACGCCCGGCTAATTTTTTAATTTTTTGTAGGGATGAGGTCTCGCCAAGTTGTTCAGGCTGATCTGCAACCCAAGAGCTCAGGCAATCCTCTTGCCTCTGCCTCCCAAAGTGCTGGGACTATAAGCATGAGCTACCGTGCCCAGCTCTATGGCTTCTTAAGCTTATCTCTTTTTTAATACAGAGTAGGAAAATTTGGATCCTCCTGCTAGATTTACACAGTGTTTTCCTTCCTAGTTTGCAGTTACACACCTCCTGCCAGATTTACACAGTGTTTTCCTTCCTAGTTTGCAGTTCCAGCTTATCGACAAATGAAAGCTCGCATGATCAGTTCATATAATTCAGCCATTGTCTACCTCAGGAGTAGCTCCTACCTTTTCTCCAAAAGGAAAGAGATATCAAGTGACTTCTTAGTTCAACACATTTACAAAACAAATACTACCAAGTAAGAGGCTATAGAGTCCTTAGTTATATAATCTCAGGGTGCATTTTAAGTCTCAGAATCTCTTCTGATCTTTGACAGCCAAACACAGAGGCCCTCTTGGTTTGCCCTTAAATTCGCTCATTTTAGGCTTTCCTTCTTATTAGTCATGCTCAAATGTTGACCTTTCCCTGTCACATCTCTAGAATGACTTCAAAATGATAAGTTCCTTCCTTTTAGAACTTATCCACATCCATACCTCTCAAAACACCTGTCATAAGGTATATGATGTACAGATGTGAATCAATTTAGTGAACAGAGAGCACCTTTCAACCACATCAGTTTTCAACTTCACTCTAAAACACAACACAAGGCTATTTTTAACCAAGTCTCAATGGCTCAGTGGGATTTACTAATCACATTAAGTTCTATATCTATAATTACAGCTAATGTGATCTAACAGGCTGCCTTTATCTTTTCTACTCCCGAGAACACTACAGAATTTCGACCAGGAGACAAGGGGAATGGTATTTGAAGCCCAACGGTAATGTCATGTCTTCAGAAACAAGGATTAGGTTAAGAATGAAACTATTCTTCCTTTTCTATAATCTAAATACCCTATGGCTCAGTGCACAACACATGCTGATTCACTCCATTTTAACATGTTACATATGCGTGACCATAACCATTTGGGGATATATAACCAGAGGTATTATTCCACTGTGGCATTCATATACAACATGATTCTTAAATAATTAAACATAATATATTATGTTTGCAGTGACTACAGATTTAACAATCTAAACCACATCAAAATATTGTTTAGGAAAGATTAAAGAGCACTAGTTAACATGTTTAATGTTGCACAAAGCCCCCACAAAACTCACTCTAAAAATACATCAAGATTAACAGGGTGCCCATTATGTGCTCAATCCTACTACAGATACATGGGGTCAGTTCAGTGGCAAAGCTAACTTTATAGAAAGAAACACTTGAAATTTTCTCTGAAAATACTGACTTGTAGGCAAAAATCACTGAAGAACTTATCCAAACCAATGCCCACCTTGCAGTCTCTATTTTAACAGTAAAATAACATGCGAGGGGCAGATTCTGCCAGGATAGAATCTGGCTCTGATCATCATGCTGGTCCAGAAGGAAAGGAAAGTCTTGCTACCAGCAGAGACTCTTCAGAGCTTGCTCTAGAAAGGTGACCTATGCCCCTTTTGGACACAGCATGAGTAAGACATTCCTTCCCAAGGCTTTTTTAATATTTTAATTCTTTTATACTTACCACTATACTAATGAAAATTTGAAGCTTGTTGGTTTGTTACACAGCCAACAGAAACTGATATACAGAAGACAGGCCCCCAACATCTGTTTCTGAGTTCAACATATGCTAGGTTGCTTGACTGACTAGGCTAAAATTAAGTGTTTGACAAGAAGCCAACAATTCTAGACTTCATACCTAAATGAAAACTAGCATCAGGATGTTACTACAGGCATGTATGCAGAGATAAGATATTTAGAAGGGAAGCTAAAGAAAGACCATAGGAAAAGTCTTCCAATATTCTAGGTAGCAAACATCTTTGGTGAGTTTTGGGTTATCAGCACACTAAAAAACAGAAACTCAGTGCAAATGAATTGGTTGGAACTAAATTAGTTAATTACTTTCAGAACCTGAAATGGCTAACTATTTGGAACCTACATGCATTTTTTATAATAACTAAGATAAACTGGCAGACTTCTTGCAATGTTTCCTTTCTTGCATGTTTTCCTTTCTTATATAAAGAGGCCCAAACTTCTGTCTTTAGGGATCTTTGAGCTCAGAAAGCTGTGTTCGGGAATCGTTTACCAGTTTGAAATGTGTGCTGTCTTCAAGGTTTGTGAAAAAGACTGGATTAGGGGAAGTTGGGCAATCCAGCACACTCACTGAAAAATAATCAAAGATGATGTTCTCGTGGGTCTGCAGTGTCAATCTTGCACATGTGGGGCAACACACACCGTTACTACTGCAGCTTTCATGCTAACTAACATGTTAAGAGATACTGGGGAAAAGAAATTGCTCTCCAGTTTTACAGAGTATTCCCTAGAAAGAATACTCACCCGCAGCCTTTTTGTGACAAGAAATAGCCTCTTCGTATTTGCCTGCAGCTAAGAAACGGTCTGCTCGTCTGCTCTGTTGATGAGCCTACAAGACAAACACTCCTAAATTCATAAAATAAGACATGACTTTTCAACAAAAGCAACCACCTTTTAAGAAGATAAATCCAGGAATGCTGTTTGTTGCCACACATCAAACCACCATTACACCTATATTCATGGCTGCAGAATGTACTGGTAGCATCTGAAAGGAGCAGACACCTTCTTTCAGCTCTACCAAGAAACGCTCTCTAGGTTAACGCCGGGCACTTACCTCCTCCAGTGACCCACATTCTTCCATTCTTCAGAGGTTAACCAAAGATCTTTACCAAAATGTGTACTGTCTTGATTTTGAACAAGCTCCTTTCAAAATGAAATATATTGTAGATGCTTTCACCAGTTCAAATAACTTAAAAACTATAACAGGAAATCACTTAACTGTAAAATCCAAGCTTCTCTTGTATCATCGCATTCTTCTCTTTCAACATCAAAGTTACGATTTGCTTTTAAAATTTTAATTTGGACCCAGTACAGTTGATTACAGTGGAGAATTTTTTGGTTACAACTCACCAAAAGAACAAAGACAAATTCAGAGGTTCTAACAGCAAGTAACTTATATGCTCCTGAATGTAAAGGTACATGGGCAGTCACTGACGTCCTTACATCTGTGTTACACTTAAGAATTTCAAAAGAGTCACCGGCTTTCACTACAACTTTGTGAATGTGTTTTCCCTTCTTACATGAGGCCTAACAGACTCCAGGAGTCACACAGCTTACAAGCAAGTACACATTTAGCTAGCCAGGAAGAAGACAGAGATCAGCTAAAAACTTTAAATTAGACTTTTAATTAATATACTATTATCCTCATTAAGTTACATATACATGATTTAGCAAAACTTCATTTATAAAAAGCAAAAAAGCCAGACACAGTGGCTCACATTCATAATCCCAGCACTTTGAGGCGAGAGGACTGCCTGAGTCTAGGGGTTCGCGACCAGTTTGGGCAACATAGTGATACTAGTTTCTACAATAAATCAAAAAATTAGCCAGGCATGGTGGTGCACACCTGTAGTTCCAGCTACTTGGAAGGCTGAGGCGGAAGGATCACCTAAGCCCAGCAGGTCGAGGTTGTAGAGGCCAAGAGCATGTCACTGCACTCCAGCCTGGATGACAAAGTGAGACTCCCACTCAGGAAAAAAAAAAGCAAAAAAGCATTGTACACTCATGTCCTTAACAGCATTACTTACAGTAGACAAAGATGGAAGCAATCCAAATGTCCATAAACAGACAAATGGATAAATAAAATGTAGTATATACACACAATAGAATATTATTCAGTCTTTAAAAAGGATACTCTGATCATGCTACAACATGGATGGACTCTGAGGACATTATGCTAAATGAAATAAGCCAATCAGAAAACGGCAAATACTGTACAAGTCGATTTACACAATGTATCCAAAGCAGCCAAACTCAAAGAACAGGAAAGCTAAACGGTGGAAGGATACACCATTGAATGGAGGAGGGAGCAATGGGGAGTAGTTGTTCAATTGGCAGTTTCAGTTTTCCAAGATGAAAACGTTCTGGAGATAGCTGCACAACAATGTGAATGTACTTAACGCTACTACACTGTGCACTTAAAAGCAGGAGAACCTGGGCATGGTGGCGTATGCCTATAGTTCCAGCCACTTGGAAGACTGAGGCAGAAGGATCACCTGAGCCCAGCTGGTCAAGGCTGTGGTGGCCATGAGCATGCCACTGCACTCCAGGCTGGGTGACAGAGACTCCAACTCAAAAAATTAAAAGTTAAAAAAAAAAGGAGGATAAATCTATGTTATATGTATTTTACATCACTTTGGGGAAAAAAAGGAAAAGCAAACCTGTTGTCAGTTAGGTGTAAAATAATTTATCCTGAATGCTTTTTAAAGAAATACGCCATTGATGCCTCATAAAAATACTTCAGAGAATCACTTTTGCAACTGAGATTAAAGATATGCTGGGCATGTTTGCAAATCGCACCTAGTGTAAAATACAGGTGAAGACAAAAGCAGAAAACAGAACTTCCAGCAATGCATGCCATTTGCCTTTCTCTGCTTCGGTTTTTGTTGGGAAAAAACAAGCAGCACTCTTAAAGGCAAGATCATGCTTTTCTGAACACACAAATATTTTCTAGTGCCCAGATATGATATAGATATTTTGGGAAGATAAGTATATGAGGAAAGCTAATACGTACAGGCAGTTAGGATTAACATTATTTCTCTAATGAACATGTTTTGATACTGTCGTTAAAGTGGCATTCAATCAGTAAAGTTCTAGGTAGAGGAAAAAAGGAATGGAAGAGGTGAATCTGCAGGTGCCTTTACCTTTCTGAGCTTTGAAAGATGCCCAACAGAAGAAAGGAAACTGTTTTGAAATCACATAGCACCTCATCATAGCAAGGGGTGGCAAAGTATAGACTTAGCCCTACAAGAATCAGTGGCTCTAGGATCAGGCTGTGGCTCTCCTACTAAATCAGATAAGTTACTCCAATCTTCAAGGGATATTTCCTCACCTGTAAAATGACGGATGCAGACCAGAGCTGTGTGTCTCAAGTTTTAATGAGGATACAAACCACCTGGGGATCTGGTTAAACTACAGATTGATTCAAGGTATAGAGTTGAGCTTGAGACTCTACCCAGGTGAAGCCAAGTTGGTAGCTCATCGATGCATTCTGAGAAGCAGTCTGAGGTTACTTCACTCTAACACTAGGTTTCTATGGCCTGTATGTCTCTGATGACATCATTCACTTCCTACCTTGTGTTATGGGTAATTTATGTTGCTCTAAAATTAAACTTCAGCCGGGCTCGGTGGCTCAGCCTGTAATCCCGTGCCTTGGGAGGCTGAGGTGAGTGGATTGCTTGAGCCCGCGGGTTTGAGGCCCGCCTGAGCAACTTGGCGAGACCTCATCTCTACAATAAATCAAAAATTAGCCGGGTGTGGTAGTGTGTGCCTGTAGATCCAGCTACTTGGAAGGCTGAGGCGGAAGGATGGCCGGAGCCCAGTAGGTCAAGGCTGCGGTGGCCGGGAGCAGCCACTACACTCCAGTCTGGGCAACAGAGTGAGACTCCAACTCAAAAAAAAAAAAAAAATTAAATTAAACTTCAAGCTTTTCGAAGACAAAATAAATTGGTGAACTGCTGTACATCAAAAAAAAAAAAAAGTTCTTAAACAGTGATAGCAGGACCTCATGGCTCTCCCTATTCCCTTAAAACTTTCCCATGTAGGCCGGGTACAGGTGGCTCACACCTGAGCCCAGGAGATGGAGGCTGTGATAAGCTGTGATCAAGCTACTCTCCTCTAGCCTGGGTCACAGAGTAAGACCCTGACTCAAAAACAACAAAATGTTCCCATGTAAAGTCCAATCTCTAATCTTCCAGTTCATGAGTTGTATCTCATTATAGTCTCAGATACTACTGCTCCCAATAAAAACACACACCTCCTCTACGTTATTTGGCACCACAGCATATTCCCTATGTTTAAAACAAAACAAAACCAACCAGTACAATTCCTCCAAGGTATTGCAAGTGCAGGCTGGATAGAACTAGACTGCCTAGGTTCAAATTTCAGCTTGAACACTTATTAAGACACATGAACTTAACTTTTCGAATTATCTGCCTCAGTTTTCTCAACTCTAAGATGAGAAGATGAGAACTGTGCAGTATCAATATTGCAACAGTTGCAATATCACAGTGCACAGAAAGGTGCCTAGTACACAACACTCGCTAAGTCCATCGTTATGCTAAGTAATATGAAAGAGTACAAGTGTTGGAAGTAACTGCCATCAAGAGGCTGACAATACAACTGGGTAAACTAGATTAAATTGTATTTTTTATAAACCAAAGATATCGTAGAAACCCTATTTGAAACCAGGTTTGGTGGCTCACACCTGTAATCCCAGCACTTTGGGATTATAGAGATAATAAATAAATAAATAAACAAACAAATAAATAAATAATCTGGGTGTGGTAGTGCATGCCAGTAGTTCCAGCTATTTGGAAGGCTGAGCATGCCACTACACTCCAGCCTGGGTGACAGAGTTAGACTCCAACTCGAAAAGAAAACCTATTTTGGTAGTCATTCTTATTTTTAAAGCAACCTTTTAAGATTTCATATATTAAAACTGACCTCTCTTTAAATACTGATCTTGGTAAAATCACAGCCATTTAAAATTGGTGAGTCCATAAATAAGTTTCTTTGGTAACTCAAAATAAAAGTTATGAATTTCAAAATAAAACAGTCCACCTCTTTCTCTATACTGCTCTTCTTCCTAAGGAATTCCTGATTCTTGTGGGAGTTCCCATTATTTTATACTACCTTGTCCCCTAAACACTTAAGAATCCTTTCCCCCAGATTTACACTTAGGACCAGAGAGTATCAAGAATGTTCAGCTAAGGTGACATTCAGAGGCTAGCCAGGTAGAAACACATGAGCATGTCTGTAGAGAGAAGAGTGAAGCAGTCAAGCTGTAAGAGGCAGAAAGAGGGAGAATCCTGACAATGTGTGAGTGACAGATTCCATATGTCCTTACCCACCTGCCTTCCCTGCACCTTTCTTTGGGGTCCAATTAATTATCCCTTTTGGCTTAAGCTAATTTGAAGAGGATTTCCACCATCTGCAACCAACAAAAATCCTAACAACCACAGCTAGGTTACTAAGTGACTGACCTCACTGACAAGTACTTTCTACTTCTACATGCTGCTTTAAAAAGACAAGTTCAATATTGTCTTCTTCCCCAAAGAAAAACAGTATTACCTTCTATAACTCCCGACTTCTTTATTTCTTTAGGAAAGTTGTATGTAAAGATGAAAAGAAGCCGGGCTCGGTGGTTCAGCCTGTAATCCCACGCTTTGGGAGGCTGAGGTGAGTGGATTGCCTCAGCCTGTGGGTTCGAGACCTGCCTGGGCAACTTGGCAAGACCACATCTCTACAATAAATCAAAAATTAGCCAGGCGTGGTAGCACGCGCCTGTAGTTCCAGCTACTTGGAAGGCTGAGGCAGAAGGATCGCCAGAGCCCTGCAGGCTGGCCGGGAGCAGCCACTGCACTCCAGTCTGGGCGACAGAGTGAGACTCCAACTCAAAAAAAAAAGATGAAAAGAAAAGGAATACTACATAGACACAATACGAAAAAGGCAGCAGAGGAAAGTCTAATACACGCCTGACCTTATGGTAGGGTTTTCAGTAGGGAGCAAAGGAGAAACCTCATTCACTCTTTCCCAATCAATTCATCCTGAAGCTGCCACAGACAAGCAGCAAGCAGTATCTCCGAACAGTAAGAACTGAGTTGATTAATGCAAGGGAATTATACTTAGGATAACTGCTCAAGTGTTAGAGAATTCCAGAAGACCTCTTTTAATTTTAAGTCTCAGCATCACTTCTTCCACATGTAGCTCTGCCTACATCTTTTTTTCCCTTCAACTTCCAGGTTAGCTCACTTTTTTTTAGAACTGCCACCAAAGAGGTATCTTTCAAATTATAGGATGCAATTAGGAGGTTGTGAAGTTAATTTAGTGGATCACAACTAGTATTTTTTACAATCTAATAGTAAATATTAGCGTTCATCATACATAGCAAACAGTTTTCAGTTGTTTTTGCTGAGATTTTTGAGGGCCCCTGCGTTTTTGCACAATTCCAAGAATCACTTCTATAATGTAGCAGCTCTGTAGCAATATACATGTCTGTGTTGTCATTCTGTAAAAATTTCTCATTGTGGATCACAATCAAAACAAGTGTAAACGTTGATATAATATAAAGATCAGTATTTTATTTAGAATCTTGCTTTCAAATCCAACTATCACCACTTACTCTACATTTCAAGTTCTTATCTGTAAAATGTGATGAATATCTCATATAGCTATTAAGAGGAAAAGATAAATAATATATGTAAAGTGCCTGATGCCAGCCCCACCACTTAGTAATTGTTGGATATATTTCAGTACTCTACTGCCTTTCCTCAAAGCACTTCCATTAAGTCCAGCCTAGATTTGTGAAGTGGGATGAATCTTCCTGGGAACTTTGCAGGGTTACAAAGAAAGGGCTTTACAGTAAAAATTGTACTAATATAATTAACATGGTATAGTTACAAGGACTCCAGGTATGTACAAGGCCACTCCCTGGACTATGTTATCTGCTTCCTTTTCTTAGTTGAGAAGCTTGAAAGCAAGAGGCTTCATTAACCACCTCATGTGATGTGAGACTAAGCATCCTGGAGGGAAACTGTTATTGACAAACATCTTCTCAGCCCTCTTAAGGGCTGAACACACAGAAAGCAACTGTGGCTGTGCAGTCACACGGACCCTACCTTTTGCAGTGGAGGTAAGCAAAGCATGAGCAACAGTCATATAAATTAAGATCTGACATCACTTTCCAAATTGGCAGCAAACAAACCCAAGATTTAGAAATTATCTCACACAAGTGTTGATGCTCATTACCAGCACTCACATGACCAAAATAAAATGGGGAAAAAATGCCTAAATATACACTAAGTAATTGTTTAAGTTACAATTTTTCCATATTAAAAAAAACTGATTAAACAAACTTATATAGTACAAAGACTAGTTATGTTATTCTTTGATGGAAGTAAAATTTATTTTTCTTTTGACCAACTTCAAAAACACTAGAACTAGAATGCATTATCTGTACTACACATTAAAATGATATTTCAGGTCAGGCGCAGTGGCCTGTAATTCCAGCACTTGGGAGGCTTGATTAATTTATTGTATAGATGAGGCCTCGCTATGTCGCCCAGGGGAACTGCCTGGGCAACATGGCGAGACATCATCTATACAATAAATCAAAAGAGTTACCCAGGTATGGTGGCGCCTGTGGTCCCAGCTATTTTGAAGGCTGAGGCAGAAGGATCGCCTGACCTCAGCAGGTCAAGGCTGCAGTAGTAGCCATGATCATGCCACTGCACTCCAGTCTGGGGTCGGGGGGTAGAGAGAGAGAGAGACTCCAACTCTAAAAATAAAATAATAAAATGAATATTTCAAACTAGTCTCTTCCAGATCTAACAAGTTCACTGTGAGGCAATAACCAACAAACCCTCACTGCAAACCTAAAAGAAGCAATTCTGCAGCAGAGGTACTAAATGCCAACACAGAATCTACAGTTCAGTACAAGTAAGGACTACACTGGAATGATAATGAGAATACATCAATATGACAGCACTGCTAGAAAGAGGTCTTGATATCAATAAGTTGTGATCAACAATGTATCTGAGTCACTGACCTACGTAATTACTTAATTTATCTCAATCTAGCCTTATTTATTTATTTATTTATTTTTTGAGTTGGAGTCTCACTCTGTCACCCAGACTGGAGTGCAGTGG